GATCTTTCCTTACAAGGACCTCTCTATGCTGTGTCCTTTAACTCTCAGTATTCTGGATTCTAAGAAAATCAGTTACTCAGTTAACTTTATATTTCAATTTTTTTAATTTTCTAAATCTGTCCCATGCAATATTTGGGGCAGACTTATGACAAAAAAATAATAATAAAGTGTTATTGATCTGAAATTCAAGGTATCTGAGTTCCTTAATTATTTTTAAATTTGACTTCTCTTTGGATTGTGGGGTTTGAGGTGGAAGGGAGTTGGTGGGGTTTTTTGTTTGTTTGGCTTGCTGGGGGAGTAGTTGGTTTGTCTTTGATTTTGTTAAACCTGGCATCTTGAAGCCCAGGTCATGAGAAGTCACTACTATTAGCAAGAGGTCAGTGTAGCCTGTCATCGTGAACTCACTCCCCAGTTCAGGCAGCTTTGAGATTTGTATGCCCATTCTCAGTGAAAGGTCAGACATAACTGAGTATAAATGGACTGAGTAGATCTGTCACTGAAGTGACAGGAAAGGGCTGTGGCAGAGCCTGGCACTAGGCCTACAGCTTCCAAGTTCTTTTGAGTAACTCACAGCTGGGAAAATACAGGAAGGAGATACAGCCACAGGTTTGGACCGATAATTTATTTCTGACTTTGCACTGACTCTCTCTGACTTTGCAGTCACTCCCCCTTGGCTCCTGCCCTGTGATCTTCACAGTGGGTAAACAGTAGCACCTGACCTCCGAGAGATGGCTCCTAAACACGCAGAAGTGTGGCAATGGCATGGCCAATCTCTCCAGCGCTGTGAAGAGGAGCACCATCATGGTTTTCAGATCATTTGGAAGAACCAAATAAGTGTGATTGGGTTTGTATAGTCCAGAGGACAGGGCAGACATGCCAGCTTCCCCTCACAAAACAGGACACTTGAACTCAAGGAGCTGGCCCTGAGGACACTGCCATCCAAGCCTGTTGAGCTCCTTACCTCCCAGGTCTTGCAACGGCCCCAGCAGGCATCTGTGGTGATCCGAAGTCCTCTGCAGCCTGGCTTCTTAGCCAGGAAAGTGAACTCCCTCACAGCACAGCCCACAAAAGTGTGCAGGTTCCTACCAGAGGTGCTGAGGACGGAGTCATAGCCACCCAGAAGGAGGAGGGTCATGGCACCAAGGACAAGGTATGCCAGCTTCATTCTATTCCCAAGGAGGGAAAGGAAATAAAGTTGAACATACCCAACTGCTCACAGTGGTGCAGCACACAATGTGTTGGTCCCTCTCAAAGAGACCTTGCTCTTAGCATTACAGGGGGAAAAATAAGCCAAGGACTTGTCCAGCTCCACTCCCTAACTAGGTCCAGTAAATAGTCAGCAGCTTTCTCTAGACACCCTACCCTCAAAACACAGTCTCACACTTTTTCTTGGTGAACTCCAACGCCTGGAGCTGACTTGTATGTAAAAGGAATTTATCCCAGTAAAAAACAAGAGTAACACCAAAAAAGTGTAGCACCTAAAATAATACACGAGTACACATACCTTCTTTATCATCCAGGTCCAGGGTATGTATGGGTCAAGTTAGAAGCTTTGCACACATTTGTATTTTTAGTGTCATGGATGGGGAGAGAATAGGGGAGGTAGGTGAGTATTTTTAATGGCATATCCTGGTGTGCTGTTTCTAACCCAGCCTACCATGCAGAAGATATGAAAACTGGTACTTGGCATGGTAGTCACTCATAAAACATGTTCTACTCATCACAGGCAACATCTGCTCTATGCTTCTGCTGTGCAAAGGCCCTAGGGGGACTCAGTTTAGAAGCAAATGATGGAAAGCTAGTCACAGTCTGCTATGGAGTCTGTCCTCTCTTGTTCTGGGTCCTTTCTGGTGCTTTAGTAGCACAGAATGGGCCCTTCATGGTTGACCCACTGAACAGAACACACCTGGACATCACATTTCTAGAATGCCCACCAGATCAGTGCCATTGGGGGGAGCTACATTTCCAGAGCTGCTCTCACAGGTCTAATGGACGCTGTGGTGAACTGTGTCATATGGACTCTGTGGGCTTCCCCTGAGGAGGAAGGAAGAGACGGAGAGGTTCTTACCTGATCTTGTGGAGTCAACTCTTCTTTCAAAAGTTTCAGTGAGTGGGAGAAGTTTGCTCTGGGTGAGTGTCTCTCCCTTCTGTTATCAGGCTGCCTGATTACTCAAATATATAGGGAAGGTCTTGTCAATCACAGCAAAAGAGAGGCAGATTCTTACAGGAACAACTAAGTACATCAAAGCCATGGAATATAAAGCCAGTCTCTATTTTCCAAAACTGATTCACTTCAAGGGTGGTGTTTTGTTTCTTGACATCACTGAATGAAACAGAAAGTTGCCTTGGTGGGTGACATAATCCTGAGGAAGACAGGCAGAGGTGGTTCACCTGGTTCTGAAAGAACAAGTGCAATGGGACAAGATGGATCAAAGTTTCCTTCTTCGTAACCATGGCTTGCCTTTAAGACAGTAAGCCACTAGCAACTTCTGGCGAGCCCTTTCCTTGCACTTACAATGTTGAAAAACAGCAAGACAATAATTCTTGCTTGGAAACAACATGGCATCACTACTGACAGAGGGAAAGAAAATTTGAAAGTCTTAAAGATCATTTAACTAGTAATCTTTAAATGAATCACACAGGCAAAATACAGAGATACTAGAAATGATTAACTTCATACATGGGAATTAAAGACTTTTTCTTTTTTCAACATGTATCAGGAGATTTTTTTTGAAACAGAGGTCAGGTTTTTATTTTAAAAAGTGATCTAGCATTATGATTTTAAAATTAAAATAAACAAATGTGTAGTGATGTTTTAGTGAAAATGTCTTGGATTTCCGGAATTACAGCAGCACAGTCCTTCTTATGAGCAGGGGACATGGTTCATATTCCATTCTACAATGGTAGCACAAATGGATTAGAACACTATTTGTTCCTGGCCCTTTTCTGGGTGTTCTGAAATGTAAATGAAGCAGACATCTGTGCCCTCAGGAGTTTACATTTCACAGCAGATCACGGCATACCCAGAAACGTTTAAGATGCGTATTAGATAGCCAGTGACACAAAATAAATTAAAGCATTTTCTTCACAGAAACATTTTTAAAACAAATACAGCTTTGTTCTTTAACAAAGAACACATAACTCTTCCTGAACACATAACAACAATCAGCAAATCCATCAATGTATCTCCTGATCAGTGAGCCTGCTGAGTAGCGTGTATTGTCCTCAGTTCTTCAGCAATACTGTAAAGAGTTCTCATTTTCTCCTTTTTACATTGAAAGAAATGGAGGCTCTGTCACTTTTTAATTGACCACTTCTACAGCCTTTATCAAGACAGGGGGTGTCAAGCTGGTTTCTCTAGACCATCCAAACAAGTGTGGTCAACAGAAGTGGCTGTCTGGGATGCCATATTAAGGTAACTACAAGCAGTCCAAGGAGAGGGGGCAGAAAAGAGGGATGGTAATTGGCTGTCAACTTTTACCATCCTGACACTCTACTGTGCCACATGCCTCTGCAAGGACAGAGTCAGAGGTTGGGAATGTGACTGCAAAGACACCTATTGAGCCCTGAGTCTTCTAGAATGTCTAGGCCTATACCATCTCTTCCACCTACATTGAGGTTCCACCACTGAAGACACTCTCATGAGGCAACACACAGAGGTCATGTAGGTCATGTGTTCAAGCCACAGGCACCCAGCATCTTCCCTAATTTGGTTCTATTTCCATCTTAACATAGATTACTATCACCTTGGAAAATGACTTACAATGTTCATGTTCTTTAGAGGCCATGAGATAGATAGGAGATAATGGGGCTATGATTTGGATAGTTTTAAATGTGTTTACCCCAAGGGTTCACATGTTGAATTTTTATCCCCATGGTATGTTGGTTAGACCTGGAGCCTTTGGAAGCATCCAGAACAGTTCTGGGGAAAATGAGATATACTGAAGATATTACCAAGTTGTAGAGAGACATAGTTTTTTTAAAAAAAATTCAGCCTAGCATAGGCATAAAAGCAAATACATGGACCAGTGGAGTAGAGGATATAGAAATAAACCCACTTTTCGTCGGCCAGTTGTCAATCAAGGTGCCAAAAACATAAGGCGGAGAAAAGACAGCCCACTAACAAACACTGATGGCAAAGTTTGATACCCACATGTGGAACACTGAAACTAGATCCCTATCTCTCACCCTGTAGAAAAAAAAAATCAATTCAAAGTGAATTCAAGCGCTAATATAAGGCCAGAAAATTCCATACTACAAAAACAAGGAGGAACATATCAAGATGTTGGCATGGGTGATTTTCTAAGAGGGCTTACAGAGCTCGAGAAATAAAAGTAAGAACAGCAAAAGGAATTGCAAAACTTCAAAAGCTTTCTTTTATCACAGTCAAGAAAATTCTTGGCAGAACAAATGGACAGCCTACAGAATGGAAGAAAAATCTAAGCCAGCATCTACCTGACAGAGGACTAGCATCCAGAATATATAAAGAACTCAAAAAATATAACAAAAAACACATAATCTAATTAATAAATGGGTGAATGATCTAAATAGATACTCTAAGTAAGAAGTACAAATGGCCAATAAATACATGAAAATAATCCTCCATATCTTTAGCCAGTGGGCAAATACAAATCAAAACTACATTGAAATTCTCTTACCAGAGTCAGCATGGTCCTTACCAGGAAAACAATAAACAATAAATGTTAGTGAACATGTAGAGAAAAACATGTGTCTAGAATATAAATTTTTTCAGAAACTATGGAGATCAGCACAAAGATTCCTTAAAAAGCTAAAGAACAGAACTGCCAGGTGATCCAATCACACCACTCTTGAGAATCAGAATTATCATACACAACAGAGAGCCCTGCTTAGTATACCACTCCTTACAACAGTCAAGATATGAAAGCAGCCCAAATGCTGGTCAAATGATGAATGAATAAAGAAACTTTGGAGTATCTCATAGTATCAGAAGACATGATGCAAGCTTCAGAGGAAGAAAAAACAATAAGTAGTCCTACCCAGATGTAGAGCCTACAAACCAAAACAATGATCGTTACAGCAAGATATCCCTAATGGTTCAATAATGCACTTTTATCTTGGGGAATAACCAACAGCTGTCTTATTATACTTATGCCTTTCTCAATAGGAGTTGTCTTAGGGTTTCTATTGCTGAGAAGAGACACCATGACCACAGCAACTTTTATAAAGGAAAACATTTTAATTGGGGTGGCTTATAGTTCAAAGGTTCAGTCCATTATCATGGCAGGTGGCCAGGGCGATATGCAGGCAGACATGTGCTGGAGAAGGAACTGAGAGTTCTACATCTTTTTAATTTTTTTTATTTAAATTAGAAACAAGATTGTTTTACATATCAATCCTCAGTCCCTCTTCCTCCCCTGTCCTCCCCCCAACACCCTACCTATCCAATACCATTTCTGCTCCCCAGGAAGAGTGAGGCCTTCCAAGGGGAGGTCTTCAGAGTCTCTCATATCCTTTGGGATAGGGCCTAGGCCCTCCCCCATGTGTCTAGGCTGAGGGAGTGTCCCTCTATGTGAAATGGGATCCCAAAGTCTATTTCTACGCTAAGGATAAATTCTGATCTACTACAAGAGGCCGCATATATTTCTGAGTCCTCCTCAGACACCCACATTTATGGGGTCTGGATCAGTTCCATGCTGGTTTCCCAGTGATCAGTCTGGGGGCCAAGAGCTCCCTCTTATTCGGGTCAGCTGTTTCTGTGGGTTTCACCAACATGGTCTTCACCCCTTTGCTCATCACTCCTCTTTCTCTGCAACTGGATTCCAGTTCAGTTCAGTTTTTAGCTGTGGGTATCTGCTTCTACTTCCATCAGCTGCTGGATGAAGGCTCTAGAATGGTATATAAGTTAGTCATCAATCTCTTTATCAGGGGAAGGCATTTAAGGTAGCCTCTCCACTGTCGCTTAAATGGTTAGTTGGTGTCATCCTTGTAGATCTCTGCACATTTCCCTAGTGCCTGATTTTGCTTTAAGCCTACACTGGCTCACTCTTTGATGGTATCTCTTGTTTTGCTCTCCTCTACTCTTCCCCCTACACAACCTTCCTGCTCCCTTATGTCCTCCTCACCCCTCCTCTTCTCC